GGAGAGGAGAGGAGAGAGAACCAAAAGGGGAAGAGCCACCTTAGGTATGGGCCGAGATCCTGAACTGAGTAAAAAGGAGAAAGCAAAGCTGAGCACCAGCATCCAACATCCATCTATCTGCTTCCTGACTGTAGATGCTATGTGATAACTGCCTCATACTCCTGCCACCACGCCTATAGCCTCAAGCCATGAGCCGAAACAAACCCTTCCTTGCTTAAGCTGTTTCTTGGGGGTATTTGGTCACCGTAACAAGGAAAGTAACCAATCCAGTCAGGTAGGGCTGATATGGGAGCCATATGCAAGTTCTACAGGGCTGTGAGCAAGATCCCACCCCTCCCCCACCCAGGCCTCCCAGGAGTCCCAGCTGGAGCATCTTGAACTCCAAAGTTCTCAGAGCCTGAGACCTCACACCGGAAACAGAGACCCCACCGGCCATCGCTATCTCTCTGGGGGCCTTCCTTGACAACCTCTGGGCTCCAACCCTCGGAGCTGACCTTGTTGGGGGTGTGCCACGACACATTGTTGATGTAGGTCAGCCTCTTCTGGGTGGGAGAGTAGGAGGCGATGCTCTGAAAAGGATTCTGGCTCTGGCCCCACCGCCACTGGATGATGTCCAAGTTCATCGGCATGTCACCCTGCTGGTCGAAGAAGAGCTGGTTGCCCAGGAGGGTGAAGTTGACAAGCCAGATCTCCTTGAGTAGCTGGAGGGGTCAGAGAGGAGAGGAGCAGAGCTGGCATTAGAAACGGAGCCAGACCTAGGGGTGTCTATACTGTCTCACCAGTCCAGTTTCAACAACTGTGAAATGGGAGCTGCAGGTTTTAGAAAAGCAGCTGTTTGGAGGTACGAGCTCTAGAACTAGGTGTATCTGGGTGAGGTCTCAGCCCTGCCACTCGCAGTGAAGCTTTGCACAAGTTTTTATTTATTTTATTTTATTTTTATTTATTTATTTTTGTGTTTTTGAGATGGGATCTCCCTGTAGCCCCAGCTGGCCTGGAACTCACCATGTAGACCAGGCTGGCCTCGAACTCACAGAGATCTGTCTGCCTCTGCCTCCCAAGTGCTGGGATTAAAGGCGTGTGCCACCACATCTGGCGAAGCTTTGCACCTGTTGTTTAACCTCTTCGAACTCCACTTCCTCTTCTACAAAATAGGATCACTAAGAACCTCTCTTCTGTACTCTGGATCCATAAGTGAATTAATCCACATTAAGAACTCAGAAAAGTGTCTGAGAAACAATAGTATGTTCTCACCTCCTTCTCTCTAGAAGTCATCTAAGGATCCTGTGGGGGGGGGGGCTCTTTCAACTGCAAAGACCAGGATTGCCCCTGCTCCCACCCCCTTTCAATCTCCCCATATCTTAGGGTCAACTCTTTCTGGGTCTGTCCCCCAAAACTGGTGCTAGCTCAAAGTACTCTGAACAGGACAACCTCAGGTCTGAATTCCAGCGCTGGCTCTGCCTTCAGTTGGCTGTGACTTTGGCTCCCTAAGCCTCAGTCTCCCTAAGTGTGAACGGTCAACCACAATGATGTATCCTGTTTGGGTACTTGGCAAGCCACACCACAGTCTGGACAACAATGCAGGTTAATTGGGGTCTCAGCACCCAGAGTAAAATTCAGTTAGCACCCAAGTGCCTTTTTAAAGAACAAATGCACATTTTTAAACGTAAGTAGTTAGGGCAGTGAGATTAGGATCTGAGGATATAGGGTAGATGGCTGAATTAGAATAAATAGAATAAGGTTGCACATTTGTGTGTGTGTGTGTGTGTGTGTGTGTGTGTGTGTGTGTGTTGTCTTGCCTTGCTGGGAATCAAACCCAGGGCCTTAGGTCCTTACACACGATAGGCCAGTACCCAACTACTGAGCTACATCCTCAGCCAGAGAGATTTTAAAAGTATGAGTACGGCTGGGCATGGTGGTGCACACCTGTAGTCCCAACACTTGGGAGGCAGAGGCAGGTGGATCTCTGAGTTCAAGGCCAGCGTGGTCTACATAGTGAGTTCTAGGCCAGCTGGGGCTACAGGGAGAGCCTGTTTAAAAAAGACATATATATATATA